TATTTTTTAGTTTAAAAAGAAGAAACGGTCATCCATAAAAATATATATTTTATTCAATATTAAAAACAATTTAAGATTAAGAAAAATGGTAAGGAACTAAAATATTTAAAATAAATCGTAATTTACTCAACAAAATACATTTTGTCTTCATTAACACACGACAATCTTAACGAATTAGCATCTACGCATTTCATAGAACTGAAATAAAACAAACCCCTAACCGATTGAAAAGAACTTCATAAATTTAATTAAAAATAACGAAAGGAAACGATAAACTCATCAATCTAATTAATAGTTATGCTCTTTTCCGTAGCGTGGTGCTAAAGCAGTCTGGGAGAATGTTGCCTTTTTTTTCGCGTGCACTGTGAGCCAGAAGACCATGATCTTTGGCCTTAAGTCAAAAATTAAATTTCAACTAAAATATATGTAGGCAGTTTTGATATAGTCCAAATTAAGTATTCATAATCATTCCAAGCATTATAATTTACTTTTTGGACCGACAAGTACAATGTAATTAAAAATATGTTTTTTTTTTATTTTTTTTTAATGTAACTTTTAAATTTTTATTTCAGAAACATATATAGGAATTTCACCTACATTTTTATCAGAGTAATTAGTCTGAAATTATAGTACAATTTTTTTCAATTTGTTGGATTAGTTAATACTCTTGACAAACTTACAGTTTATATCATATCATTTGACATTTTACAATGTTTCAATGACTTCCGAAACTTAAGTTCCAAAAAGTTCCACTACTAGGAAATTAGCTAAACTTTTTTTTTGCTCTCTTCTTTGATGTTTCTTCTTTCGAAAAAACCTGCTCCATTTTGGCCATATTGCAAAGGTGGACTATACCGAAAAACAAAAATTATGTTTTTTTTCTTCATGTTTTCGCGTTATTTTGTAATATTACTTCGGAAATATAATTTGCTTTTCATTTTTAATATAAAATTACGAAAATTATTATATTTTCATTGCTATATTTAATTATTTAAACGTACTACATTATTTTTATTATTTTTTGCTCGCCATATTTCAACCGCCATTTGATTTTTGGGGTATTTTTTATGTATTTCAAAATTTCAACTATGAATTCAATTAACCTGCACATAAAAACCCCTAAATAACCCCCCCCCCAACAACAAAAAAAATTGAAACAAATTTTATCGAAATACTTATTTTGGCCACGAAACCGTGGACACCCACTGTGGCATGTAGAGGGAAAGAAAAAAAAAACGCGTCATTTCTTTATGTGTTCAAGCTGTGTGGAAACTCTTTTATGGTTATAAAACAAAAATGAGATAACTAGACCAAGGCTAAAATTGAAAAACGAAGAGAAATGTAATTATAAGCATACATTCGTAATAATTATGGTTAATTACAAAAAAAAAGGCATTGATTATGAGAACATTCACACACGCGTGATCAATATAAGTAATTACTGCATTCACACAATCTAAATTTTAAAAAGTTAACATTTTATTAACAGAACAATGAAGGCTGAATAATAAAAAATTTAAAAACCTGCTCAAATCAGGTAAGATAAAATCAATTACGCTGATATAACCCAGAACAGGCTATAAAGGTAAACTAGAAATAAATTTAGAGAGAAAAATCAGGTTTTATTGTGTTCTAAACAAGATCCAGATTCGCATATAGAGCAGTGAAATTACACTGAATATGATCCGGTTTGACACAGAAAGAAAGTTTAAAGTCAAAATTATTTTTATTTCTTTATAAGAATTGTTAAGGAAATTAGTGAAAGTAGGAAATTTGATCGAAAAATAATATTTTCCAAACGGTAAACAAGGCATTAAAAAAACTAATTAAATTGAAATAAATAAACAAAAATACATTTTCAAAGTTATTTTAATTCATTTAAAAAAATAATAGCGACAACTTAATAACTACCTCTTGTAATTTATATATAACCAATCACTCATTATATTAAAAAAGCTACTTAATATTGCATTCCATTGCATAAATTTTTTCCATCGAAAAGTTGATCGATGTTTGGTGTCATTTTTGTAACTTCAGTTTAATAAAAAAAAAAAAGAAAAAGAAGAAGCCACGGAAATTAACATGGATATCAGTTTTGTATAAAATATCTACATCAATTATCTTTATCAATCAATATCAAAAAAATTATCAATTTTGAAACACTTTCGGGATACATTTAAAAATTCAAAATAATAAATATTAAACTAATTATTTGTATCGGAGAGATCTAACCCTTTAACGCAGAATTTTAATTAAATACAATTTTCCTACTTTTTTCATTATTTTGTATTATTTTCTGTCAAACTAAGTGAAAAATATAGTATTTAGCATTTTAATAATTTTTGGTTATGAAGTACATCATTTTACACCTGTGCGTTTTTCTGCGTTAAAGGTAGAAACTTTCAAATATGGCTCACTTCTTAACATTATTTTTACAAATTGCACTCATTTGCAGTTATTTAGATTTAAGAGAAACAGTTATTCATCACTGAAATTTCGATAATTTAAAAAATTAAGTATTGATAAATTTTTGAATAAAAATCTCAAACTACTTTCTTGGGGTTTTATATTTTAGTGCAAATATAATCTTGAGAATCTAATAGATTTTTTTAGTGACAATTAGACTATTTTTTCTAATTAAAAAAATTCCAAAATATATTTTTGTTTGTAATTAGAGCTCCAGAAAAAAAATAAATCAAAGGGCACCCTGCGTCGGAGGGATATTTTTTTTTCGAAAGGGTAAAAAAATAATTTCTAGTACCGTTACATTTTTGAAAGTTTTTAAAGCAATATAATGAGTCACACATTCATATTATTCAGGAGAGCATTTTGATGAAAAACACCTAGATTTCTATTTCGCAGTATGGGTGTGGTATTTCTGGAAATTTGTTAAGTACTTACGTGGAAATAACACTGAGGAACAGTATTAAGCCCAGTTGTGACACTTAGAAAAATTTTAGCTAAGGAAATTTAAAAGTACGAGAAGGAAGAACAAACTTCTTAAACAAGATGTTGAGACTTTTCTTTCATTGAAAGTCAAACAATTAACTATTAGAAATAACTATATGTTTGAAATTAATATGAATGAAAGAACTAAAATCGTAAGAAAAATACCAGCTCTGATTATATTGAATATGAATTAAGGTTTTAAAATTGCCATATAAGTTCATCTCAGTGTTCTCTTATAAAGATGTTAGTGTGATTGTTGATGCAAAACTTATTGACTATTATTCTTGAAATAATCAATATTTCCATCTGCCTATGATTGATTGAAAGTACAGTTTAATGTCGTAAAAAATAAAGATATATAATTTCGTAGATATATAAGGTGTGATATAGGGTTCTGAAATAATTAGTACTTTATTCTATTGGTGATTAATTAAACGTGCATTTTAATGATATAAGAAATAAACATATAAAGTGCGAATGCTAATACAAAAATTATAGATTTTTAAAATAATTAATACTTCAAACTCTCTATGATTCATTGAAGGTACAGTTTAATGACGTAAGACCAGACCGGAAAGAGACTACACTGCAACAAATTCAAGGTATTAGTGTAATAAAATTAAGAATTGCAAGAAACTATGTCCGACAAAAAAACGAAAGGGAGGAAAGTAATGAAAAAAAAATCAGCATTTATTTATTTGTCCTTATGGAGTAACATTTTGTCATTTCTCAATAAAAAAAAATTATTTTAAGCATTTAAATGTTCGTATTTAAAGATGATTAAATCTTCAAATGTAAATAGATTATGCCCTAATTAGGCTTTTTTTCATTATTTATATTCTTATCTATAAATCAAGCTTGTGTTAAATGTATTTTAGTAGATTTTAATTCCTTTATTTCAACATAAAATTCTTTTTTTCTCTTTTATAACACTTCAAAGCATAAAAGTTCGTAAGATATGTAATACGTTTTTAAAGGAAATATTAGCTTCACAATGGATATAATTTAAAAATTATGTATGCATATAATTTATGAGAAATAAAGCTTAGAAACTATAGTTGGAATTAACAAAAAGAAAAAATTATTTTTTTCAAACTGTATCAAGGCTATAATATTTAGAATTTTGGATCATTGATACCTCAAAAATTTCATATTTTAGGAGAAGGTATTAGTTTTGCCTTTAAAAAGAAAAAGAAATAAATCGAAATGAACTGTAAAATAATGACTGATTAAAATTTGAAATAAATCTGATAAAATTGTATTGTACGTAACAATTTAAAACAAAGATTTGGACAAAACGCGTTGAAAGTTTTGTGTTGCTTTCTGACAATTGTAGCACACTTACATAAAAATTATTAAAACTGGCAAGCTAGTAAAAATTTATTTTTAAAAATAATAAACTATTTTTAAACCTTTTATCAAAACAATATCGATTTTTTAAAAAAGTTCAATAGTGGAAAGAGGTCTTAAATTATAAGTTAGCAGCAATTTAAATTAGAGCTGTTAGCAGTTTAATTCCAGAAAATATAATAATCAATAGAATTAAGTTTATATTGTTTATGATAAAAGAGAGTTTAGAACGAAGTTTTTGTCGTGAGCAATAAATTCGCATGTTGAATAAAATGAAAACTAAGTTTTTTTTTGATTTAATGCTTATACATTAAACGTTTATACATGTAATCAAAAATAACTTCATCATTACAAACATATATTTCATCATTGAAATCTTAAACATTAATCGAAATATACTTCGTTCTCAAAGTTAGCATTTTCAAACGATTAATTCTAAACACTAAGAATTCGAGTTAAAAAATATATAAAAGGCCTAATTTTGAATCTTTTTCTTAAAAAAATTCTAGAAAATAAAAATAAGAAATAATGTACACTATTTTTCTTCTTTCGAAAGCTTCAACTTTTAGTAAAAAAACTTTTAGTTTTACTAGAAGTAAACTTTTAGTAAAATTTGCGACTTAAAGTCGCAAATTTTAGCGTTTCATTTTGAGCAAAATCCACAATTAATACTTAATGGAAAACAAAAGAACGGTACATACCTTGTCCTGAAGCTATAGAAAAATAGGCGAGGCATAAAAATAATGCAATTTGTACATAATAAGGCATGATCAGAAAGTTAGTGATTCGGGCGAGCCCGTATTATCCAAAACTGCGCCATTCTTCCATCAACTGAAGTATGAAGGGATTCAAGGTGCTTTGTGGCGAGGGAGAAAAAGCGCCAAACTCTCGACTTCAATGAATTTCAAAAGTTGTAAATCAATTTTCTCTCAATAGAACTTCAAAAGATATTAAAATGATTACACAAAATGTAAGCGTGACGTTGAATCAAATATTTATGAGTATCATAAAAAAAATTCTTTTATTTTTTTACTTAAATGCACGTTCTTTTTTTCAAATGGAAGAAAATAAGGCATTTCCATAAAAAAAATTTCTTTAAAATTTTTTAATACGTAGTCACATTTTATGTTCACAATTTTTTTAAACAAATGCGGAAAATGTATTATAAATGTATGAAAATTAAACTGGGGATGTTTTTACCAACACAACTAGCGATGTTTTTTTAGTTTTTACCAACACATAAGACCACGAGTGTAGTGTTGGAGAGCCTAGGGACGGACGGACTTTTGTGATCGGAATTCTAACCACTTTCCGATTTGCTAGAGTAACAAAATTTTAGTTGAAGGTCTATGCCTGAGAACATAGCTAGTTTTGATTGTTTCCTTACTGGTACAAGCAGATATTATCACCAAAGGGGATTTAGGGCCAATGAAAATTCTATCCACTTTCCGACCAACGATACGATATGGTTTCAAAAAGAATTCATTATTAATTAAAATTTTGGTCTTGTTTCGACTAAAAGAATGCTCAAACTTCCGCTGGGTCTCTTAGCCATGAATCAATGTAAATTTAAACTGTTCTAGACAAGCAAAAGCTTTTACCGTTATATCGAAATGTCATCCATCGAAATCTTTCTTCTTATCAAGAGAGAGAGACGGGGGGGGGGGGGCNGGGGGGGGGGGGGGGCTAGTGTGGACATTTTTTTACAAATTTGTCAAAAAACTAAGTTTGAAATTATTTTTTTAGCTTATAAAGTATTTTTTTAACAACAATTTGAAAATTTTCCTGCAATCTACTTTAAAATTGGAGTTACAAGATTTTTTTTTTTTTTTAAAGGCTATTTTTGTCCACTACAAGGCTAATGTAGACAAATTTGATAACTTAATAAGTAGGCGCTTATTACAACTCAGAAATGTATACATATAAAGTCAAAATGAAATTAATTTCTCTCTAAACCTTATTAGATAATAAATATTGATATATTTGTAATAGAGAACCGCGATGGCTCAGAGGATAGAGCCTTCCAATGCTGCGAACCGGGTTCGAATCCCAGTCGATACGAATTCCACATCCGGCTTGCACCGATCACAGTGATGAGGTGAAATATCCTCAGTGGTAGACGGATCATAGGTTAGAGTCCCCTTGCCGTCAGGCTAACCGTGGGAGGTTCTCGCGGTCTTCCTATCCATGTGACGCAAATGCGGGTTAGCTGTCTCAAAAAGTCCTCCACGAAGGCAAATTTCTCCCAATACTCGATCCAGGAGGTCCCCTGTCTTCTGGATCGGGTTCAAAATTACAAGGCCTTCGGAGTTGAACATTAGTAGTCGTAAACCCAAAAAATTGGGTTGGCTGTTCAACGACGGTTATAAAATATAAATATTTGTAATACAGAATTTCACTCTACTAAAAAACACATTTTGAAAGTAAATCAATACATTTGAAAACCGTTATTGAATTTGACTTATTCGAAAACATGAATACAAATTTTAAGTTGAATCAATTTTAATAATCACAGTTTTAATTTGATAATGATCCGAATGGACTGCACGGAAACAATGAGTTTCACTGGAGCAATGTAAACAAGTTAAGAAGAGGAGACCATTTACTGATTTGGTTTGATGCATGGCAAAAATTAAATATCCATTAAAACATCTGTTTTGTTGTTTAACAAACGTGATAAGACATTTCCTTTAAATTTTCTTAAAACCTTTAAAAAATGGATTAATATAAAAATTTCGAGTTAAATTGGGATTGAAATCACTGTTTGTAAAGGTATCATTCTCTAATTTAGAAAATAAATGAAAACATATTTTTTCTTCCAATACCGACTTGGAGAATGACCTTTCGTCATACAGGCATCTGAAGGGCAGATTTGGTGGCTTCTCTTCCAGGGGCACCCTATTAGGTGGGCCATCGTTGCCCCCGTAGTAAGTACAGAGAATGAAAGAGCATCCATGCCTTGCCCGGATTCGAACCCAGAACCTATCTGATGCAAGGCCAGTTCCCCGTCCCCTACACAGAACGGTCGGAAATAAATGAAAACAAATGTGTTAAATTTGTAACTAATTCACATTCCTTTGATTGGAAGTTGAAAGGGACGATGCTAACTAGCCACCACTAGAGTACCTGTATAATCTAGGCACTCTAGTCCACACTAGTCTCACTTAGACGTATGTTTGCTTATGCCTAATGCTAGTTAATTGAAGCTATTCAGAGCAAATGTTAATATCAAACTAGGTAAACAAAAACTGTATAATTTATTATATGTTATAACCTTATGTCAAAATTCTGAAAATAAAATAAGTAATGCATCCTGCTTTTTTTCTTTCTAAAGTGTGGCAAAAAATATATATTTTCTATCTTTTAGTTCAGTTTAAAAAAGTTTTTTCTTTTAAAAATTTATTTTGCATTATTTATAGCTAGTAGCGGGTAAACAATATAATGGTTCCGTTCTTTTCATTCATTTATTTATTGTCCACATACTTTTTTTTCAAACTTAGTATATTATATTCCGTAAACAATGTCAAAAATAACAAAAAGAAAGAGAAAAAAACATTAAAGTGAGTACGCGAGCTTTTTCATTCCGAGAATTTTTATTCACAAATGCTTTGTTTTTATTATTCACAATTGTGAGAAAATTGTTCTTTAACGTAGATAATAATGCTATCAAAGTTTTTGAATTTAGCAATCCCCCCCCTATTTTTTATGCATACAAACGGTCAACACTAAAATATAGTTTTTGCATTTTGATACGCACTAAAAATGCCTTTATATGCAATAAGGTAATTCGGTTTTACATAGATGATTTATTTCATTCATTTATTTTCTTAAATCTCAGCACTTTCAAAAAAATTGATGAAACATCTTATGTAAGAAAATACAACTTTTTTATGTATTTAAATATCTATTCGCATTATGGCGTTAAAAAGTTTTTCAATTTCACTATTTTAAATCAATAATGAAAAATAAGGAAATATTTTTTATAGTTCAACAACCAAAAAACCTATAGAGATTTATGTCTTTATTCTCTCTCACTCTCTTTTTCATTTTTTGAAAAGAAAAAAAAAAATATGAAATCAATCAGTTTAGAAGTCTTAATCATAATTTTCAAAATAAGTTATTTAAAATTTGCACCAGCCACGATAACAGAAATCAAACTTTGGATTCTTGGTGAAAAAAGTAATTATTATTTTTATTATTTTTACCATCTGATCATCAAAATATCAAGTAATCAATCGAATCATTTAGGAATCTTACAATCGAAATATTGAACCTTTTAAGACAAGCTAGCTAGAGCATTAAAATTTTAACTGAGTCTCTGCTCTGGAAGGTGTTTAAAGTTTCAATTATATTTTTGATTTTTCGTTGTATTATAGACAACTAGACCTATAATTAATCAAAATTCTAACTAGCCTAAGGGTTCAAATTGAATTGCATCGCTATGGTTAAACTACAATGCAAATCTCAAACGTTTCTTGATCACTTCCTGATCATATTACTGCTAAACAGAAATTATTGTTATTAGAAATTCTGAAGTGATTAAATTTTAGTTGTTAGAGTTCTATGGCTGATAACAATACACGTTTTAATGGTTTCCTGTCCACGATAAATAGAATCTACCGCCAAATCGTCAATCATTTCAGACCCACTGAAGCACCCGAAGAATAACTGCGCCTCTGTGCTAAACTTCAATGCAAATTTCACATTTTTGACCACAGGAATCATTATTTATTAATATAATGCTCAATATAGATTATCGTTAACTTTAACTGGAGTTCTGTGTACATGTCGACAACACAAGTCCTAACCACATACAGAAACTATCACTATATTAGCGCCAAATAGGATTTATCATAATCGAAATTGCGATCACTTTTAGACTAGTTTATTTTCGTTATTTTAACAGGAGAGAATGCAAGCTACAATTATTTTCTGAATCGAAACTTCGACCACTTTCTGATAAGATAGATTATTTAAATTTCAACTGGAGTTTTGTGCCTTATTCCAATAAAGTTTCTATTGTTTCCTAAATATATATATAAATAAAAAAAGGTGTTTTTTTTTTCTTCATTTTATCGCCCATAAAACTTTTGATGACTTTCCATAAAGAAGTATCAGATAGAAAATAAAAGGAAAATGAATTAATAGTAAAATTTAAAAACTAGATTATTAATTTCAATAGCAGCAATATGAAATAATGTGATTATATAACTAATAAAGGCTTAAATCACATTGCATAGCATTTAAAAAAAATTTTAGACAATGTATTCAGTTTATTGTGTCTCATTATTTAAAAGCTCCCGTTTGTTTGGATACCTTTACACTTAGGATACTTATACATCGAAGTTGAAAAATAGATATGATTTCGGAATTCTAAAATATGAACACAAATACAATAGAAGGAAATTTAGAATAACTTTAAAATCGACTGTACAATAAAATCTATAACATTTTATGAGGCTAATAAATAGAATGACGAGGTCGTCTATGATTGTTTCTTGTAAAAAAGAATATTTTATATGTAGTACCAAAGTTTAGTTTTCTTTAAACGTTAAAATCGTATAATATGTTTGCTGACTATCAAGCCCTGAATGTTTATTCCCAGTAAATATTTTTAAAATATCCACTTAAATTTAAATATTAATGTGCATTTATCACAATAATAGTGTACAGTACGCAAATAAAAAACGAATCACTGAGAATAACTTTTGATCTAATAGTCGGATTTTCACGTTCTAGGACTCATTCTTTATGGTATGAGGTGGTGACCTCAAATATGCTAATTAATTAGTTCAGACGATATTTTATGATACAAAATCAGACACAAAAACGTACTTTCTTTGAATACACATACCTTTTTTTTTAACGGAATCGGATTTCTGATCCCAAAAATATAGGGGGTAGCCGCATTCTGGAAAATAGGGTCCCGATGATTTGGTCAAGAGAGTGATCCAAAATTTGGACCCCTTAATGTTAATTTTACTTCTTGCGTATTTCGCTATATCTCGAGAACTTTTTAAACGAAAAAAGAAATATTTGCACACTATTATAACATTCGTTTCTCTAAAGATAATTCCATGCAAAAAAATAAATTTTAGTAACTACTAATTATTTTATTAAATGACAGTAAAAATTTTTTTTTTGAATTGCAAGAATTTTTTGAATTTGCGAAATCGGTTGAATAGTCCCTGAGAAATCGAATTTTAAATGTACGACTTCTTTAAAATTTGATTTCTCGACCGATTTCTCACAAATTTTGTATTTTGCCAAGTAAAAATACATGTTTTAAAATGATGTAAAAAAATTTATACCTTACAGTACAACTTTTTGGACCATTATTTAATAAAACGATAAAAAAGAATAAATAGTTACTAAAAGTTATATTTTTAATGGAATTATCTTTAGATAAACGAATTTTATGTGTGCAAAAAATTTTCAATTAGATTAAAAGGTTCTCGAGACAAGACGAAATACGCAAAAAATAAAATTAACATTAAGGGTCCAAACTTTGAACCTCTGATCTGACCAAACTGTCGAGACCATATTTCGGTGGTCAGTAATCTGAATTCGTCGTAAAAAAAGTTCGTTTATTCAGAGAAAGTTCGTTTTTGTGTCTGATTTCGTAACTTAAAATATCGTCTGCACTAATTAATTATCATATTTGGGGTCATCCCCTTGAATCTTTAAGATTGAGTCCAAGAATGTGAAGATTCGATCATTAGATCTAAAGTTATTCAGGGTGGTCCGTTTTTTATTTTGCGCACTGTAATTCAAAACATTATTTTTAAAATATCTTCCTCCTCAAACTTTGGTTTTGAGTATACAAAATTACGCAGTTCAAAATTTTTAGATTTCATGTTCTACAAATATTCAAATAAACAATAAAATTTTGAGTAAAATTTCGTGATCCGCTCGAATAAATTCAGAAGTACGATAAAACAAAAATAACATTTAGGAAATTCAACTTCTGTTCTTTTCAATTTTAAAATTATAAGTCAGATATTTTTCACATTCATGTCCTTTAATTTCAGTGTTAAGAATCCAAAACCGTTGGAAAATGAGTATATTTATTTAGAAAAAGTATGTTTTATGCCTAATTTTGTGTGAATTATCTTAATTCTTGGCACGTAATGATANCTTTACTGATGTTTTCCTTTACTGATGTTTTCCTTTACTGATGTTTTCCTTTACTGATGTTTTCCTTTACTGATGTTTTCCTTTACTGATGTTTTCCTTTACAGATGTTTTCCTTTACAGATGTTTTCCTTACTAATGTTTTCCTTTAATATTGCCCAGTATTCCTTACACAGACGTTGTTTTTGAACCATTGCTTAGATTGATAAAAGGCAGATACCATAGTTATTCTTTAAGCTTTAACCGACTTAGAAGAGTAATTCTGAACCTTAACGAATTAAAGTTGATTTATCTCTCATTCTTTCTTTATCCGCAACATTTATATTATATTAATTATTGAAAATGTAACTTTCACATGCTTTTTCTTTTGAAAATAAAATTAAATGATTCAAAAATTAAATAAATAAACAACAAAATCACTAAATAAACACATTTTAATTTCAACTCTTTCATGTTTCAATATTTACAGATCCCTCGTACAGCCATGAAAAATAATTATTATCAACAATCCCTGGTCTTTATCAGTATTTTGGATAAGTGCTTTATTCTGTTGAAATGTATATAAGTACAGAGATAGATTTCAAATGGGGAAAAAAAATTAAAACACAATAAAAAAAAAAGTTTTTACAAAATACAAACACACTTTCAAATGTGCTTAAAGAAATCTTTTGCACATAATTAAAGCTATTTAATTGAAATAAAATGTATTTTTTAATAAGACAACCATATAATTTTATAAGCTACTCAGTTCAACGGCATGAAAAAACAGTCTAGAATGAAACAAAAAATAAATTAGCTTTTAAAAAAAAGAAGTGATTTTTATACCATTTCTCATAAAAAGAAGCTCTTGAAAAAAATTTAAACAAGAATAATAATTATCTCACTCAGGCTTATTAAAAAAAATGCTATCTACGACTACCAGTTAAGAATAAAAAATTAAGATTACGTAATACAATAGCACTCTGAGTATCATATACTCATCTAAGAATTTTTGTGATAGTAAACTCTTAAAATATAACAATAAACTAATATCATTTATGGAACAAAGTATTTTACATTTGAGCAAATATACAAATTCAATATAAGGATACATGTTCAAATTCAAAACGTAAGATTTAAAAAAAAATTTAATAAATATGTCAGCAAAATGTGTTTTTGAATATAACCTTCAATTCCTTTAGAATAGTTCTTGACTGAATTAATAGAAATTAAAAGATAAGTTTGAAACAATGGGAGAATTCTGCAACATGAAGGCAGTGAATATTTTCTGCATACCTTCAATTTTCAAATAATTAAAACTCCCTCAATAAAGGTTTTATACAAACAATCTAATGCCATAATTTTTAATATGAGAAAAATGTTGCCTTAGACAACTTAAATATTAATAATATTTAACTTGTAATTTTCAGAAACTTAGGGACTGTTCCCACTACCCTAGTTGGATCAGTCTACCTAAATTGCATTAATTTTCCAATACATATTTCAAATTAAGCATTCTGTTTAATGAAAAAATCCAGTTGGTATTTAATATTTAATTTTCCATTGTTAAAAGTTTCTTTTTAAAATGTTTTATTGACCTCTAAATTATTTGTTTATTTAAAAAAAGAGAGATGGGGCATTTAAACAAATTAAACTTTTTCAATTCTTTTCACATGGCAACAGTTTACATAATTTCATGAGCACTTCATGTTACAGAACAGGTCTAATGGTTTTTAATAAATATTTCCCATTCTTGAATTCTCAACACATTACAGAAGAAATAATAATTTTTCAAAAGACACATTTAGTTTAAAAAAAAAGAATGAAAAAGCAGTAATATATGAGGTAAATTTTTGAATTGAGAAAAGGGAATAGCTTTAATGAACTGGAAAAGTTATACCTAAAACACATAAAATATACATTTCCTTCCTCTCTGCAATTCTATTAGTTTTTAACAGTTTATTTTTCAATGATAAATAGTGCAAGACAATTATTATTTTGAATAAATAGATTGATTTCTATTTCAGCAATGGAAAAATAGTTAGTACATTTTTACAGTAGTTCAATATTAATAAAATATATGTTGCCAAAAGCGATTGAGAAACAAAGAGTAAATGAATTAATTTTAATAAAAAATTAAAAATATATTTAAGTTTTTTTTTAATAATATGCTTTATTTTTTAAACATTTTATGACAAGTGTATAAATTACACTTCCAGTTGCTTCTTGCTTTAAAATGACATCTCAGAAAATAATTTTTGATATATTATTATTCTAGAACATTGTATAGAGCACCTAATTTAAAATTCAGTTTTCGAAGATATACATTTTTAAAGCATTTAAGAAAATAATTAAAGTTGAGCACTTATTACAGGAGTTTTCATCTCTTTCCTTTGTGAGAGAGCAGTACTGACGAAACCAAATGTTATTAATATGTTTACATTAAATTTAAATTTCAGTGCAATTCTAGTTTAAAATAATAATCAATAGTTTTGATCATAAAACATAATTTAATAAGCATGTCAAATTTAAAAAAAAGGGGTAATATAAGTAGTAAAAACAGATGAAATGAAACATCAAATAAAATTCTTAATAAACAAACAGTCAAATTCCAGAAATGAACAATTAATACTGATGACCGTTGAGGATTTGAACTCCGCATCATATATTTAGTTTCAAACCTCAAAAAAAAAAGGTAATAATTTTCTTTTAAAAAAATTAACATACAATGAGAAAGCAAGATATTTTTAATGATATATTACAAGAATAACAAAAGAAAAAATAATAATAATAATTTCAAATTTATAAATTAGTATATTTTATTTTTTGTTCCTTATTCTTGAAATAATGAATCAGTTAGGAAATAATTAAGAATTTTCCCTTCAGTTAATGATATGAAAAATTGTGAAAATAAAATAAAACTGACACATAAAAGTAAGATAACTATGTAACACAAATGTTACCTTGATGAGGGAAAACAAATGAACTAATTTTAGCAATTAAAAAAAATCACAATTACCTACATTTCCATGGTTCAAAATTATACTTGGGGATGGATTTATAATTTCGTTAACATTTCAGAAATATGTCCCCCCCCCCTCTTTAGAAGTAATTAGTAAACTACAAATACAATTATCACAGAGTAAAGATATGATATGGTGTATAAATATAATTCCTTTTTTTCACAATATTTAAACTACCGGATTGGAATGATTTTTTTTTTCAAAAAATATTTTAGTAAATATATAATAATAATAAACAACAACAAAGAGGAGAACGTTTCTTTCTTTTACATTTTTCGGAAAACTCGCGGAGGAACACATTCTGCAGTCCATACACTGAAAGGGTCGTACTCAACACGGACATTTTGATGCACTTTTCAGAAAATAAGTTCATTTTAAAAAGTGAACACCTAAAAATACCCTGTGTTCATAAATATAGACTTGGAGTATCATATATATAGACAGATAGATGTTATGAATTTATTTTAGGGTAAATCATTAAGAGGTGTATTAAGCAGAAATATACTGATGGTGAACAAACAAATACAGATGGAATGTAAGGAGTTTTAGGGGGACCATACCATTTTAGGCACGCACGGTGGATATAGTTATTTTTCAATAATAATATATATGTAGATATATCTATAACAGTTCCAAATATAGATAGCAGACAAATATTCACAGGGTTAAACTTGTCTATCTCTCAACTGTGTTTTCTATGATCCATTCCTAGAAGAAGAAAAAATTATAAATATGAGTATATCATGGTTAATGACAAAATATTATTTGTAATTACGTATCATAAATTTGCTAAGCAGCTTTGTTTAACAGATATTGAAAATAACTATTAATATAAACCATAAAACAATAGAAAAATCAGAAAATAACTTATAAATAATAAAATTAATTTTTAAAAAAATATAATCTGAGAAAATCTTTTCTACCTTTTTGTTATCAATCCCAGATAAGCGCAAAAAATTTTACATAAATTTGATCACATTTAAAAACCATATAATAAAATAGGAATCATGAAGATTTAACTAAGTCATCTTATTATGTGGTAAGTATACCTAAATACAATTATTTAAATAAAAAAAGAACAGTTATATAAATTATACAAGCCAAAATAGATAAAAAAAAATTAAATATAAAAGTGTTAAAAAACAAGCAAACATGCTATTATAATATATTGTTCCCATAATTGGGCAGAAAAAGCCATGATTAACAGTCACAAAACCAGTAAAACATTAATTATAATCTTCGTATTGAAACAAAAAAGCAGGTTACTTACCTAGATATTTTTTCTATGATATCTTGCAACATATGACTACCATAGGAAGGCAATAATCGATGAAAAATTTCTTTAACAAATAAATCACTAATGCCAGTGCAAGATCTTTCCGCTAGCTCAAAAGCGCCAAGAAGTTCTTCAATGGCTTCTGTTTTGGTTGGACTATCAAGATTCTTTAGATCATTTTTGTGCTTTTTCTTGAGCTAAATAAAAATAGTCATATTATTCATTTCTACTTAAAATAACAAATATTATGAGAAAAGATAGCTAGAATACTTGAACTAGCCCATTATTTGATTAACCTTGTCAAGATTTATTAGAATAAAACACTGTATTTTTTTTTTATACATAAGATTCGCTAGTTATTAAAAGATTCTAATTTAATCTTTTGCCCCCTGGGTTTCCCACTAAACCCATTCACTCCTGTTTCTTACCACCCTCCTTTTCAATATCTTGCTCAAACTTGTTCCTCTGTCCTGATTGGTTTAACCACTTTGTCTGTGTGTGTCTCTATATTTTTCTTAACGCTATGCTGTTTTTCATTTTATGCTGTATTTATGCTGTTTTTCATTTTAGTTTATCAAGTAGAAAGTACACTCTATCTATTTGAATATACTGTATCCACAATATAGATGTTTCAGAGTAACAATATTTGTTACCTAGTCCTATATAAGATATCTAGGTAACCAAGGACTAGAATTGAAAAATTTGTACTACATTTTTACAGAAAGTCTCTAAAAGAACAGCAGTAGGTAACAATATTTGTATAAGGATATAAACACAATTTCGTTTGCATTATTTTAATTCATAAAAGATTTTTCCTATTTGAAACATTAAGATTTAAGTCTATAAATTTTTCAATTATTCTCAATAAAAAAAAATTTAAAAAAAAAACGAAATTTACTATTACTGATACTGAAATTTGAGTTTTTATGAATTTTTAATATTTTTCACTGAAAATCATGATTTTCCACGAGAAATTTCGATTAAGGTCCATGACTTACTAGGAGCCCTCTAGTTTTGATAGTTAATAATTGTTTAATTTTCTTAATAAGAATATTATCTTATAAGATGCAAACAAAACATGAAAAGAAAAAAAAACTGACTTTACAAAATAAAAAATATAATCATAGATTGTATGGAATATTTCAGTCTAATTATTACTTAATATCTAAAACATTTTAGACACAAGATATTTTAGTGATTTAAAAAGAGAGAGAGAGCAATATTATACTGAGTTCTTTAATTTTTTATAGACAGCAATATTTTTTATTTATATTTTATAGGACTGACTTGACTACTAAGTGTATTTATTATGTTTATAAAAATTTTCTTTATAATTCCGTTATAAATAGTAAGAGATATTTTATTCACGTAAAATAGTTATAATACATTCTTTCATCCAATGAATAAAAAATTTAGAATTGAAAAGCTGAAATTTTTTTATATATTTAGCAGTAGTACTTATTTAAATACACAAGTAAGCAGTATACTGAGTATAAAATTTGTTACAAAAAAAATAAAAGTTTTCTTCTGAAACTTTATTTTCTGATTTTAGAAAATAGCCGTATTAATATATAAATACAANAAAAAAAAAAAAAAAAAAAATAAACAATCATTTCAGTTTAATCAATAGAAACTGGAGAAAAAAAAGCACAGAGTAAAAAACTGACGCATTGGTTACCAAAATCAACCATCCATCACCTATCATAAGACAATTGAAAAAAGTACATAAAACAAAATCTTTCATTTACCTCACACATTAATGAATGCAAGATAATCGATGACGAAGAACCTTTTCCAGGTGATTGTTTTGTTGGAGAATCTTGAACTTTGTGAACTTCTTTTTTCTTTTCTTTTGCTTTCTTTCGAGCAATATCTTCATCAGACTTTCTACGCCCAACTAGTTCTGGTTCAAACTGAATAGGTAGCTCATATTTGCTTTTGTCAATAAATTCTGCCTCTTTACTCCTAGCTTGAATTATAAGTTTTGGTTGAGACGGTGGAGGTGGTGCCATACTGACCGGCCTTGCCTGAAACAATTCATTTAGTGAGAATATTCACAAGAATAGTTATTCTCAAATTACATAAGGGATAAAATATCTAGGCAAAATTATGCTGAAAAACTGTCTACTAATTATAAAGTTAAATTCATAAATTAAAATTATTCTATTCTGCAATTGATGATAAACTATTTCCTGATCACCCATGAAATTGAGTAGTACAAAAATCAAGGAGAGATGCATATTTTAAATTAAATCTAAGGTAGAATATACAGGCAAAATTAAACAAGTTAAAATAAAAAATAAAAACAAGGGAAAAATTTATAATTACTGTTAATCCATTATAAATTTTCAACTAATAATGAAAATTGCTCTATGCTATAGTATATACTAGAATAATTCCTCAATTATTTAAGAGCGCTCGAGCAAAACAAGGAAAGCCCCTTTTCAAGTACCCGAACGGTGTTTGGTCAAAACTGGGAAGTGGTTAATTAGGGATTTTTCAGTGATTAAACAAAATAGTTCTATTCTGCAATTGATGGTACAGTAATTTCTATATTATCCAAGGAATTGAGTGACATGACAAAAGCGAATCCTGTGGAAAATCCACAAAATTAAGTTAAGGCAACATCACCAATATGTAGATGTACTTTATATAGCAAATCCTCAATTGCAAATTAACCTTTTATCACACTATTTTGTCCCTACATAAGAATTTAGCATATTGTATAAATTGCCAATAAGACTATTTTTAAACAGAATAATTTGTTAGATAGTCAGATTGTGTTAAACCCGAGATGACAATTTTTTAATAGCATATCATTATTAATTCAATTTTGCTGAATTGTTTTTTATTTTATTTATTATAATTTTTTTAAAAAACATTTTTGGAAAAGTAATGAAAAAAAATTGAGAAAATTCACAAATCCTAGTAAGAATCTCATGCTTGTAACAACTTGAAATTTTTTTAAAATTAAAATTTGAGCTTTTTTATTAATGTTGAATGATACCTAAGCTTACATGTTAAAATATTTTTTGCGTTGGTTACATGTTAAAATATGTTTGCCTATATTAAATAAATTAGAAGTACATATTTCAAAATTTACAAACATACTTTTTTAACTGAACATTGAAAGAGCATGATTCATTTGGTCAAAGATATGCGAAGAAAATATTTTTATAAAAAATTCTTTTAAAGCAAAGAAAATTATTGATGACATAAAGAGTCACAATTAAGAAAATTATAACTAAGTTCTTTTATTGTTCTAATTTTTTTGAGATATATTAATGACATATGATATACAAATAGGAGCTGCTGAGCAGTAAAAAGCACTGAGCTCATAGTGAAAGACTGGGGTTTAATTAAAGGCTGTTTGAAGCATCTCAAGCTTCAGATTGCTGGTTACCAGCTGCTTTGAGAAGTAATGGTAGATCTTGCACCCAGCTGTTCACATTGCCACACTCATACAGTTGGTCATCAAATTGTGGAGAATTATCAGGGCACCCTGGCCTCTTAAAAGGCTGTTGCAGGAATGCTGTTATAGGTTAATAATAATGATGTACATTATTAATGAAATAAATATAGAGTAGAACATCCGTTTAATACAGAAATATTGAAACATGAGGGATTTCCTTTTATATAATTGTGCTTTACATAAATTATTTTGCATATTTTAAAATTACCATTGAAGCCTGGCAATATTAGTCTAGAACAGATCAAACTTAAAATGCTTCAAAATAATTTTTAGATACTAAAGTTAAAAATTGATGAACAAATTTATAAATTTTAGTTTGCTTAGCTTTTATAATGTATGTAAAAAGTTATACATTACAAAAGTTTTGTCGTTTACTTGTTCAGTTAAAGAAACTTCTTAACTGGAATTTTCATTGTTTGCAACTGTAAAGTTAATAAGGTTTATGGGGCATTGAAATTAATAGAATTGCATTATATAGATTTCTTAATGTAATACAATTAAAGTACGATTAATCTTACAGAGGGCTGCTGCTGCCTATTTTCTTGGCGAAAAAATGGACCAGTTTCGGGATGAGAGTTGGGTGAGTGAGGCGATGATGCAGTTGAATCACCATTTTGTTGATGCTTTACGGGAGTTGGGATTTTTGACACTTTTAAAGGCATAACATTATTTTCACCATCTAAAGTAGGTGATAAGGGTATATCACACATTCCAGGTCCTTTGACTGTACCAAGATCCCAACGCCAACTTTTCCATGTGTCATTTACTTTTGATTCATCACTGTTAAAAAAAAAAAGAAATTGAAGGATTTTTAGAGAGAAAATGAAAAGAGAGGGAAGTCATAAAATTGTACATTATAACATAAAAGGATCTTACGAGTCTGAAGCCTCTGAATCACTATCACTTTGACCACCACCAGCAGCTTTGAATCTTTTGTATTTTTCAATAAGATCAACTAAATATGAATTTTTCTTTGCTTTACGGATGAATGGAAACTTTAAAAGCTCTTTGGCAGTGGGTCTCTGCAAATAAAAGAAGTTTTAAAATGAAAACATTAATAAAAAAAAAAACTAATAAATTTTCATTTTAAAAAAGTACTACCATTACCTAAATATAGAAAGAAGAAAAAATTGGTATTTACTTAAAGAACATATATATTTATGTAATGATGCACAAAAGTAAATTCAAAAATACAAAATATGCAACTTCAACAATATAAGCATAATATTTATTTTTGAAATTCGGCTTTGCTACATACATTTTTCTAGCAAACCATCTTTTATCATACATCATAAAAATATTTTATTTATAATTCTTACATCCTGAAAAATTCTTTGTCTTATTCAAGCAATTTGTTATTCTAGTTTAATGAAAAAAGAAATAAAAAATTTTCAAAAATAAAAGAGATCGAATTATTTTTACTTTTCTTTAATGGAACAGCTGCTTCCAGCGACCAGCTAGTCCACCTTTTAAATAAGTATTTCGAGATTTAAAATCCTTCACTCAAAAATCAAGATATTATGTAAGTGTAAATTCATACTGATTAAGTGAGAGTAGATTTAATTTTTAAGTTCCTGTATGTTCTCATTTGTCCATGTTCAGTACAATATATAAATTTGAAAAATACAAATATGCCAATTATCTCAATGGCACTTTTGATGAATAACATTATTAAGGTTAAAAACTTCGTTAAAATAAAACTGTAACCTCATTTGCAAGTTTTTTTTTTTTTTGCTGCCAAAATGAAACAAACTGTAACTGTTATAAATTTCTTTAAGTATAAAGAATAACAAAGATCAAAAACAGTTAACAATACATTTTACAGCAAAAAAAAAATTTACTTTAATAGGGTGTTTAAGAATTAAAAAGACAGCACAGCCAAGTAAATGAGTATTTATGTTAAGAAGTTAAGATCATGCTTTACATTAGCAATCAGTTTTATTTATCTTTTTAAACCTAGACGAAATATTTTTCTGCTGTTAAAAATTGTTCTTTCCTTAACATTTAGACACAGGATTTAAGATCATAAACAGAAAATTATACATTTCAATGCATTTAGTGTCTCAACTGTCTCTATTAAAAGCTGGAATTATTTCTTAAAGCTATATATTTTCCTCTAAAATATGGTATTGGCAATTAGAGAATCAATAATTAGTGTTAAAAAAAGATAGTCATCAAAAATAATAATAATTATTTTTTTTGCAACAAAAAGTTTTCCTATTTAATAATTTTAAACGTCTTAAAATTGAAATGCCATTTAAATGAATAAGATTAAGCATATTTATGTTTAAAACTAACTACAGTATTTCTTTATTTTTTGATAACTTATCATAAGCATGTGTATTTATTTTTAGCACCCATTCTTACTTTAGTATTTAAACTATGAACTTTAATTAGGTATTTAATTTTTTTTCAAGAACTGTCTGCTTCTATTTTTTTAAATATTTGGTAACATTACTGTTTCCCATGACAGTGTCATGTTGAAAAAATAAATACAAATTTTTCAATATTGCATATGAACCTGAACATAAATACATCATGTTTAATTTCAGACTACCAGCCTGTGTACTTACACTAAATCTGATTTAATATTTTAATCTCTAATTTAATTACACTAAATTTCAAACAAGAATTTCAAGTTGATTCTTTCATTTAGAATCAACTAAATTGTAAATTACAGATTATACAAGAACTTCCTTCAAATTTTGCTAATAATCACATTTTATTTAAGAAACATTTGACAATATTTTATAGCAATGCACATGAAACTAATGAATAGTGCGTTCTATTAAATGAACAAGCTAAAAAAGTTTTTAATTTTAATGTTTTTTATATTGTTTATAGATTTAACATGAACATTTTTGTACAAAACTTTCTCAATTCACAATTTTATCATTGAATAAGGGAGATAATTGGTTTTTACACAGAACAGAAGAGTTGAAAGGAACTTATTGGGTGCAAAAAAAACTCATACGGTTATTAAAATAATGGTTTTTACAGAAAAATGATTTAGATTTCAAAAAAAGTAACTATAAAACATAAAAATCACAGACAAGCATCAAAAGTTAAAGGTTCCTATATAATACATAGTTCTTATTATTTTTTCAATGTCATAATTATAGTCAAAACAATAAAGTATAAAATAAATAGGGACATTCATTATATTTTTTAAAATTTATTTTCAATATTCATGAGTTTGGACTAGTATCTTTTGTCAGTCAAAATTAATCTTATACTAACAGATGCAATAATTAAGGATCCTTAATGAACATATAGAAGAAACAAATTCTGTACCTTTAAAAAAATGCTTGATACTATAAATAAAATCTATTATATTGTTCAGCTATCATGTTCAAAAATATGGATATGGTAGTAAACTATGTGAAATGATATTAAATGTGATTTATTGATTACTCTTTAAATAAAAATGAATTATGGCAAAAAGATAATGAAAATTTAGTTTAATTATATATATCCAAAAATAACTTCACAATTTTATTTATCTGAATACACTGCATTTACAATCATAATTGGTGCTGATCATGACATCTAAGTAAAACAATATTTTTAGAAAACTAACAGTATTTCCATTTATTCATAAAAAAAAATAGTTTCCTTATAATTTTTTGCTTTTCATCCTAATGAATAGAGAACGCCACTTTTCTTTTACCATGACTAACACTATCTTCAAATTAACACTAATTTGTATTAATATTTAAAATTATAAAAAGTGATTTATAACATTATTCATTATAATAATTATTATTAAATCAAATTCATTTATGATTGTAAATATAGTTGATTTATCAATAAAAGAGTGTGAAGAAATGGTGAAAAACATCTTTACTTACATTTTGTGGATCTTTATTTAAACAGGCTTCTACAAACTCCTTGAATGTCTTACTATAATTACCAGTCAGTTGTGGGGGATTGTTTTTTGGTATTAAAAACAACACCCTCATCGGATGCAAGTCAGAGTTAGGTGGTTCTCCTTTGGCTAACTCAATTGCAGTTATTCCTAAACTCCAGATGTCAGCCTAAATAATAAAAAGTATTAATAAATTTCATGCTTTCAAAGACAGCTTGTTTTAGTAAGATTTCTTCTATTTAATTGGCACAACCAACAGAAACAGTTAATTAGAGCAAAGTTAATAAAAGGAATGCTTCTAATAAATAATGATTTTAATTGCTATGTAAAACAGTTTTTGTATATGAGGGACTTACAAAATAAAAATAGCTCACAGTAAAAGGATCCAAATGAAGAGGGGGTATACTTTGTGCAACACATAAAGATAGATATTGCGAAAACAGCAAAAATAAAGCCATAAAAAAAGGACATGCAATCATTTAGGTGTCTCAATTAGGGGTTTTCTTCAGTGTCATAACACAGATTTATTGCGATTTTATTAGCGTTTCTCACATTATCTAGCTTAAGTTTCATAGTAAAATGATATATTTTAGCCTTAGATCCATCATTATAAAAAACATAGCAATAAGAAAAATTTAATCACTTGGATGGCATATAAAGCTTGCTATCACTGTAAGTAGGTTCAGTTTCTACTTCATATAATAAATTACCAATTGAGCTATTAGTATATTTTTTTTCTCAACCATTTTTTAGTCTGCAGTAGAGTCTTGATAAGAATGAATGAATCCGAGCAAGCGTAAAAATTCAGTCTTACTCCCAAATAATGATAATTAAATACTGAAATTTAAAAATTGCTTTTTCAATTTATTGAAAGGTTTAATAAATTTTACTTTTTTGATAATTCTAGTTTTCAAAAGTTCGAGGTAGACTCGAACCCATCAATCTCGAATTATCGAGACTCTACTGCATTCTGTAATGCTTAAGAGTTCACACCAGCAATGAAAATTTAGTGGTCCAATAGGACCCCCTAAGTAATCATTTAGTGGTAAAAAAAACTCAACATAGTAAACAAACTTTACATTTTTTCTTCTACTTCCAATGCTTTTCTGGGGAATGATATTTCGTCAATAAACGCATCTGAAGGGAAGATTTGTTGGCCACTCTTTCAGAGGCACTATATTCGGTGGGTCAACATTGCTCCCACAATTAGGGCAGATAGTACATAGAATGAAAGAACACTCAAGCTTTGTACAGGACTCAAACTTAAAAAAAGGTATCCCTTACCCAAATAAGCCATGATTTTTTCTCTGCCAGCAATAAAATAATGTAGAAACAATGATTTATGTTCAAATAAACAAGTTTAAAAGCAGGTGGCTATCTTGCAGAGTTGGCCGTTGATTACAGTAATCGATTACAACTGTAATTGATTACAGATAATTACAGCTATGTAATCAATTACTTGTAATCACGATTACAAGTAATCAATTACTTGTAATCGTGATTACAACTTTCAAAAAATTTTGATTACAGCTGTAATCATGATTACAATTTTGATTACAGTAATCAATTACTTGTAATCACGATTACAAGTAATCAATTACTTGTAATCGTGATTACAACTTTCAAAAAATTTTGATTACAGCTGTAATCATGATTACAATTTTGATTACAGTAATCAATTACTTGTAATCATGATTACAAGTAATTGCGATTACAAGTAATCACAACAAAAACGATTACAAGTAATTATGATTACAAGTAATCAAAATATATGATTACATGTAATCATGATTACATGTAATTTGATTACATGTAATTGTGATTACTTGTAATCAAACTATACGATTACAAGTTATTACGATTGTATACTATAGTCAAATTTTTTATGTAAGTATTCATGTGTTTACATATTTTTATGTACATAGAATGTACGCACGCATGAACGTACAATTTGCGATTCCTATACATACAATGTATGCACAAACGTTGTTTGTACGTACAATATTCATAATTATATTGTAATATACTTAATGCAATGCGCATATGCTTAGTACATATAATTATGCATTTATGATACATGTACGCATGTATGTTAGTTTGTACAAAAAGGCAATGTTTTGTATCTTTGTATACATAGACAATGTATGTATGAACGTATATGAAAATAATGTTTATGCGTTTGCATGCTTTTATGTACTTAAGTGCATATATTGTATAAATTTACGATAATAGCACGTATATACAATGTACGTTTGTATATAAAATTGTACGTATTTGCGTACAATATGTAAAAATGTTATTTAAAGGTACAATATATGCACATAGTTGCGTAAATAAAATGCGTACATGTATACATGCATATTTATATGTACATCGATATATGTGCACGCAAAGTATGTACTTATGTACAACTTACGTATGTACTTGTATAACTACATACTTTGTTAATACTTATGCGCATGTAATGCATGGATGTACAAAAAAATAGTTATATGCACAATGTATGCATGTGCATACAACGTATACATGTACATAATTACAAGTAATGTACAAATACGTGCGTACATTTAAATATATGTAATTACAATATACACATACATTGTGCATACATTAAAAAAATTTATATGAGTAAAGTTATTAAAATTTGTTTTAAAATTATTCTAAGGTATATGAAACTCGACCTCATATTTTTTAGAAAGCAAACGATAATTTTATTTGGAATTTCTAAATATTAATTCCACACATAAAATTTACCGTTTTTCTTACCATTTAAAAAATTTCTATGAATCATGCATTATGTTATAAAAAAAATAAATCTGTATTGTCAAACATTTCATGAAAATACCTGAAAATAATTTTTTATTCAGAGAATTTCAAAATGATATAGAACAATTAAAGCTGAAAACTAAATTTAAATATCGTTTGATTTTGTCATTTAACTTGCTTGAGTCATTAAAAGTTAACTTACATGCATTTTATTTATTGCATTGTACACATATTTAGACATAAATGTAATGTACATATGTATACGTGTAATGTATGTACGCATGTACAATGTATGTACATACATTCATGTATTGTACGTGCATATATAGTACATATGGATATGCATACATGGAACATACGTGTATTGTACATGTGTGGATACATTCATTGTACATATATACATTGCACCATATGCATAGATAGGGATAGCATGCATGTACACATGTAAAATTTGTACGAAAGAATTATGCCCAATATATTTATGCACATACGTACTGTATATGTACACACATATGTACATTATATGAACATTATATGTTCATTTCATCATATGTACATTATATGAATATACATCTGTACGCTATATGTATATACATCTGTACGCTATATGTATATACATCTGTACAATATATGCATCTCAAATGTGTGTATGTACGTACGTTATGCATGTCGAATGCATGTATGAATATATGTGAAATATAAATACGCCCAATGTACGTACAATAGTTCACAAATGTATTATGCATATTTGGATACTTACATTGAGCATGAACATATTATGTACATGTACATAAATACACTGGACATGCATATCATGTACATGTATACATACATATATTGTACATCCTACAGATATACCTATATTGTACATGCATACATATATTGTACTGTTCATAAATAAATTGCACATACATGCATGGGACATACATTGTACAGACAATGTATGTATGTTCGTACAAACACAAGTACTTGTATATACATGCGTACATGAACATAGATATACATTTTACATACACAAATATTTGCATAAAATGCATATATTCATTGTGTATAAATGTACATGCCTACATTGTTTGCACATACATACGTAATTATTATCTATATACATACGTACATATATTTTATACCTACAATATAAGTGTATGTACATGTGTGTGATACTAAAATGTCTGAACATATGCACTAGATAAAATCATATGTACATACATTTCAGTTACATTCATTTGTACGTATACAAATACGTACAAAATGCAGTACATGTTAATACGTGCAAAATGTATCATTATAAAATACATTCTACTATCTACTGTAAAATATAATCATTTATAAGAATACAATAGTCTTGTAATCGTGTAATTAGATTACATGTAATCATAATTACATGTAATCAAATTACATGTAATCAAATTACATGTAATCATATATTTTGATTACTTGTAATCATAATTACTTGTAATCGTTTTTGTTGTGATTACTTGTAATCGCAATTACTTGGAATCATGATTACAAGTAATTGATTACTGTAATCAAAATTGTAATCATGATTACAGCTGTAATCAAAATTTTTTGAAAATTGTAATCATGATTACAAGTAATTGATTACTGTAATCGACTATGTAATCATGATTACAGCTGTAATCAAACTTTGTAATCACGATTACAAGTAATTGATTACTGTAATCAATATTGTAATCATGATTACAGCTGTAATCAAAATTTTTGAAAATTGTAATCATGATTACAAGTAATTGATTACTGTAATCAAAAAATGTAATCGATTACATTTTTGGCCAACTCTGCTATCTTGGTACAATATGCAAATGCCACAATCCATGTCCAGGGCACAGAACAAATTCACTTACTTGACAAAAGAAAATGCTCATACTATGAAAAGTATTGCTGTATATATTGACTCTGCACCTTAGCACTGATCATGGCACTTGCTTATAGAGCTTAAAACAGTTGTCTACCCATCTAATTTTGTTATTTATGATTGGTACATATTTAATAAGTTATTACGGAAAAAAGCCATCACATAGTGCAGGTTTAAATGGTTGAATATCTTACTGATGCGTGATGCCTTGTACCAAGAAACATCGAAATTAGAAATATCAAGATCATTTAAGTTTTTTTTCTTTTGCATTAATGAATCCAAATTTGTTGTTAGGAACAGAACAACCAATATATGATCAAAGAAAAGTTGGAAAAATCTAGAACAAAGTAATTTAAGTTCCAGTATAGAACATGGAGAAAATAATGCTATGGTTCATTTAAATTTTTCATTAAATAATGGAATTAGGTTTATATATAGTTGGTATGTTATAAAAACACAATATTTAAAACAAACACTTATGCAATTTAATGCATCTTTACATGTGACATTTATTATACACATTTTACAGTGTGGATTTCAACATATCATATTTTAAACCAAAACAAATCACAAACTTATAAATGCATTAAACAAGCATTTTTAAAATGACTGTATTCATACTAAAGCACAAATGGAGAGAGGTACAAAGAAAACTAACAAACACTAAGATTATGTAACACTGTTGAGGGTCACAAAGAGATACATACCTTTGAATCATACGCTGATTGTTTAATAACTTCTGGTGCCATCCAAAATGGTGTACCTACAAATGTATTTCTCTTACTTGTTGTTGTAGTTAATTGTCCAGCAACTCCAAAATCTGCTAATTTTACATCACCCATTTCAGAAAGAAGGATATTTGCAGCTGTTGAAAGGAAAAAAGTTAATTAATAAATAAAATAATCAACAAAAATAATATTTCTTACTTAAAATTAACATATTTTTCCCCTCAAATCTTAAACCTATGTTTAAACCAGAATTAAACAAATTTTATTAAAAAATTAAAATGGAATGATACAATTTCTTTAAGTACAACATTAAAATTTTTATGCATTGGCAGAACAAAATTTCAATAATTATATTTATTTTAAAAAAGTATAATTGTGAACATACACCCCTTATACAATGATTAGGATGAAAGAATAGTTTATTTTCAGTAAATTATAAAAATGTAATTGCTTTCTTGCTTTTAATATTTTAAAAAATGAGTGATAACATAAGTATAATGATTTCATTCATATAAATTTCTTAACAAGATACAATTTTACAAGATACAAGATAGATAAATTTTTGAACAATTTGATGAAGTAAAAACTGTAAAAGATAAATCATAAAAAGATACAACTTTAAAACATTTAAAATAATTTTCTGTTTGGAAAACTATAAATATTTAATTACAAAACCGATTACAAAATACAATTAACAAGGAATTATTTATAATATAGTTTTCAAATATAAGCACTTTTAATATTTAAAATAATAATTATAATTATGAAATGAAATATACTATTAGAATTCTATTACCTAACTCACTGATAGTTCTGCATGTAAAAACTCATATTTTAACTGCAGTCTTTTACACATGTTATTAGAGAGGAAAATAAAGTAATGGGGAGAAAAATTCTTCTAATTTTGCTCATTCGATAAATCCCTGGTGAGTTTAATCTCAAAAATGTTAATATTATACTCCAATATTAAATTTATTGCTTTTACTTTACTTCCATAAAAAAAAAGTACAAATATATTGTTGATGCAATTATGTATTCAGAACAACAATTATGTATTGATCAACATAAAACTGTGATAAATAAAAATTTAAAATCTATTAACACAAAAAAGATTTGCATCCCTATTTTAAATGCTATAAACTCACAAATTTCAGCCTATATGATACAGATTTTAATGAAATTGATAATATTTATCTTATTGTATAATTTTATTTTATTTGGCCTTTTTTAAAAATGGTATAAGCAGGGATGTAGAATATGTCTGATTGCGCAGACAAGGCACAGGTAAAATAAGACAGCCCCAAGGAAAATTTTTGGTCAAATAAAAAGTAAAACAAATGAATGAAATGTTAAAATTTTTTTTATTGTAAACAAAAAGAAAAATTTTTTTGCATCACAAAATCTTTAAAAAATACCAATTAAATACCCGAATTCTGATATTTTCTTATTTAATATTGAATATCCATTAATTTAATCAAATTTAGTATTATATTTTGATTTATATTTTTAACACATGCTAGTTTCAAAAATTGCGCAAAATCAAATTAACTTTTCATTTTTCTCTCTTTTCTTTGCTACAGAAAAAGTTATCAAGTTAGTTAAAGCTATACAAGTCATCAGAAATTACATACAAGCTTTACTCTCCAAAAATATTTTGGAAAAGTCATTATAACTAAAAAAAGAAAGAAAAAAAGGGCTATAATTTTAGAGTAAATTTCAAACGGGGGAAAAAAACTGTGTTCTAGGGAAATATTAAGATCTGCGAATTTTCATCCCCCCTGCTGTGACAACACAAAAAAAGTCTTTATTTGGAAAAAAAATTATTAATGAAAGATTGGGCTAATATCTGTAATTAAATTGACTTTGATCAAAATGTTATATATTTACTCTAAAAGTATTTTATGATTTTATACTATGTTAATATTTTATACTATGTTAATATTTTAAAATATCATAATAATAAGTAACATTTTTAAAAGTTTATGCTGCAGCATGATAGTGAAAACTAAGGAAAAAAATTAACATGACAAGAGAATATTTTTTAACAATTTTTTTAAATTTATTTTATATGGATATACATCATATGAATAATGCATCATATGAATTGTCTAATAGCAGTCTTAAATATAATAAAAATCAAATAAGGAGAATAAAGATACAATTTTTATTTATTTTTGCAATAGAAAAAAAAAATTACTGTTTGTTATAACATTGCTCTAGTGTTTACTTTTTATTTCTGAGTAAACCTCAAAAAAAATTCAGTTATATGAAAGTTAAAAACTTTCAATATGGAAATATTGAAAATACTTAAATATAAATTGCCAGGCAGCTAGGACAGATTGTGATGCTGTACTTAAAATATCAAATCTAATCAATAAATTTTATTGAAAAAAAAATTTTTTTTTTTTCGTTACAAATCACAGAACATTTTATGTAAATTTACCTTTGATGTCACGATGAAGCTTACGTTCTGAATGCAGGTAATCTAATCCTTTCAATACTTCTCTAAGAATAATTGCAATATGTGTTTCTTCAAAAAATTGTGAAGTCATTTTTATCATATCTAGTACAGATCCACCACCTAGGTATTCCATAATGATCCATAGCTTTGAACCCTAAATAAAAATATTTGAGATATTAAATTGACTAAAACAAAGAAAAATACTAAGCAAAGCAAACTATCCTTTTTTTTTTTTAAATTATATATTCTTTTTTTTAATTATACAATAATCTGAAGGTATTAATAAATTTCCTGAAATAATCTAAGTTGCAACAAAAAATGAAATTGTTTAAAGATAGTTAAAAAATTAATTGTGAATATAAAAACAAGGTTTACAAAATCAAAAGTACAGCATAAACAAGAAAGGCGAGTAAATTTTCAGACTGAGTACAGGTTTTATGGCTTAAGGTTTCCAAAAATACTTTTTTCTTTTTTTTACTAGTCCCTACAACCTACTTCTCACTAAACCTTGATGGAAATTTTTAAGTTCATTGCATATCTTCACTATCTTAACGTACTTAGTTACAGAACAATCCAATCAGTATTTCAAAAAAAAACAAAAACAAATGAAGAATACTATAAGCCTTTTTGTTGATATAGTTTCCTTTAAAAAATAATAAAAATAAATAAAAATATAGTTTGTGATATTTGTGAAGATCAGCAAAAATAAAATTTTATTATTCCTGGTTTAATCGGATAGAAATCTCAGATTTATGTACAGCAGGGGTGTCAAACTCAAAAGCTAACTTGGGCCAAATAAACAATGCTTAACTTTAGGTGGGCCGCAAAAAAATAATAAAAAAAAAATTGTTCATAGAAAGAAATATTTTTTTTTTGAATAGTACATTGTAATAAAATTATATAAAGTTAAATTATTGCTTTATACTTGACATCTCTTCTCTGCAACTGTCTTTCCTATTTCGGGAGAAATTTTATTGGCCGAGATTACTTTCAAAATTGACCCAACGTGAGCGTTATTAATACGGTTTCGGACAGGAGATTTATTTCCATTCATAACAGAAAATGAGTGTTCGCTCTGATAAGTATTTCCAAACATGGAAAAAATTTCATATGCGAATTTTCGAGTATTTTCAAACCTTGCCGTTAAATATTTGTAAAATTCTGGCATAACCACTTCAATGAATTTTGCCTTCAAATTTGAGTCGCACTTGAATCGCAGTCACTTCCATTAGCATACTACTGGAGTCTATATTTATTGAGAAAATCGACGAAAACAAACGAAATTTGTTTTCCGAGGAATTAAAATCTTTAAACCTTGTTTCAAATTCCGTTCTAAGATTTGAAAGTTTTTCTGCGTATTTTTGATACGATGCAGTATCCCTTGAATGGCTGGCGCCGCAAGCCAATTAGAATTTTACATTTTCGAGCGTACAATTTAAAATGATCCGTATAGTTTATAAATAAAGTATATTATAATTTCATATGCTAGTTTCCTTTCTAATTCACATTTCTAATTTATTTTTACTTTGCGTCGGATATATTGACTGGGTCACAAAAATGTTCATCTCGGGCCGCGAGTTTGACACCCCTGATGTACAGCATAAAAAAATGTCGAAGTAAACAATAAAAAAGATAACCAACGCTCCTTAGTAGGACAAAATAATAATAACAAAGAAAGAGTTGAAAAAACTCAAATAAGTGTTTAATTTGCCAACCTTGGAAAAAACTCAACTTAGGATTTTTTTTCGTAAAATTCGCTTCATAAAACTTAATTCATTGGGAAATTTAAGAATTGTAGAGCTGGCAATCAAGAAAATTCCCCAGTTTGCAAATTTTAAAATAAAAGAAGTTAGATCAATTGGTTTTGTCTAATCTAGATGATAACTTTTTAATCAATGCATACTACATTTTAAAAAATTTAAGGCATACTAAACAAGTATTAAATTATATAAGAAAGGGTTTTCTTTTTAAATAACCTAAAACGAACTTTTCGTATAAAAGTCCTGAATATGGCGAAATGCTCAAAAAGTGAAAATGACATTAAAAGGTTCAAACTTTCGACTGCTCTCTTGCCTTAACTGTTAGGACCTTATTTTCCTGAAAGCGGCTGTGCTTTGAAGATCAACAATCCAAATTTGTCGAAAAAAAGATTTGTTTATTCTGGAAAAATATGTTTTTGTATCTGATTTCGTAACTTAAAATATTGACAGCACGAATAAATTAGCATAATTAAGATAAGGTCCTTGATCTATCAAAATTTGGGTCCTAGTATATGAAAAACCGATCACTAGATCAAAAGTCATTAAGATGTCAGCTCATTATTATTTCTATTATAAGCACTGCCCCGAAATTTTTGTTCAAATTTTTTCAACCAATAGGGTTAATAATTTATACCGAAAAGGACAAAAAATGTGATATTTTGCTACCGTCCAGCGATTTAATTAAAAATTGCATTAATTAAAAAAACTAGTTACAATAAAAATATCTGGATAACTCCTCATGTCTTTGTAAATTTCAGTCATTTAGAATGACATTTTTCTATAATAATATACAAATACTTTCTTAATACAATTACTGAACATAAAAGAGTTTATAAGGTATACCTCAAGTATATGTCATTTGCAAATTTTTATAATTTATATTTGAACAGCACTTTTCATTTTAAAAAATCATCTTTCTTGTTTAATTTATCATTCATTAAACTATTGTTAACTTATTCATATAAAAAGTTTCTAATTATTTAATTTATTTAAGAATCATACATTTTAATATATTGCAACCTTTTGCAATCTTTGCGGTTTTACTTTATTTATAAATCAATGATTTATAATAATACTTAACTTTTGACACCCCAAGAAAAAGAAGCATAAAGAATTATATTATCTCTTTACAGGTCAATATTAAATAAGTACATGTATGAAATAGGTCTTGCACAAATTCTTATAACTTTTATTCATGTTATAACAACAATTCAACGTTCAAATGGACAGGTAAGAATAATCCTCATACCTGAAGATATGCATTTGAATTTTTAGCAACATAGAGAAAAAAAAATTAAAAATTGTTACACACAATCTTGCTGCATAAAAACACTAATATACAATGAAACCTCGAGGAACGATCACCTCTATGTTGCGACCTCCTTTTTTACGATCACTTTTGGAAAGTACGGAATTTTTCCCGTAGACTTTGTGATGCAGAAAACCTTTACGAGAGACCATCAAAACCTCTCCCAGCGAAATTCAAATAAGGAAATATGAAAAAAATATCAACAAAAAAAATATTACCACAACAAATAAGTAGATTAAAATGTATTCAAAACATTTGTGTGAGGTTTTTATTTAGAAAGCTCTTTCTGATGATCTTTGAAAGAGACCTAAATCTCATGTTTCAGTCAGAGTAAACTAAAGACGATGCTATCAATTATTTATTTTTAGAGTTGAAAGTTAAATTAGAAAAAAAAAGTTAATTTAGAAAAAAAAATTTAATTTAGAAAAGAACTTAGCAATTCAAGCCAACAAACCTCTTCGTATTTTTTAAAGCTAACTAATTTTCATGATATAAAATTAAAGCAAACTTAAACAAAAAACATAATTGTTTATTTATTTAAAATAATTCTATCATTCATAATTGGTTAATTTTTTTTAAAACACATCACTGTATCAGTAGGGATCATTTTTATTGACGCTACATTTTATTCATGGATCCGGTTTTCATGACGCCAACACACGTGATATTTCCGCACCAAGAAAATGACACTGACTAAAATTAAAATAGTTTGCGAAATATCATGTACCTTCGATAACATTTTGCAGTCAATAGAAATAACTCCTAAGAACGTTCATTTCCGTCTCAACCTCCATTTTACAGTGAAACAAAGGGTGGTCGCTCCCGAGAGGTTTCATTGTATTCAACTCCAATTGTAAACCTTGGGAGTTATATGTTTCAAATGTTAACAATCACGCTTGTGATATGTTTCAAAAACATGCAATATTTTTGACATGGAATAATAATACCACGACACATTTTTCTTAAATAAAAAAGTAAGGGAAAAATATAAAAATAAATACTACCTTAAGATAGGAACCATAATATTTTGTAACATAAGGGCTATCACACTGGGACAGAACCATAATTTCTTGTTGAATGTCTTCAATTTCATCTTCAGCTACTTCCAAATCTATAATTTTAATTGCAACGACTTGCTGAGTTCTGTTGTCAATGCCTTTAAAAACTTCTCCAAACGAGCCTTTTCCTATTCTTTCTTGTTTTGTAAATATAAGTTCTGGATCCACCTTCTACAAAAGAAACATAAATTGGAATAAAAAAAATCTTAATACAAATATACTTAATAAAAACAACAAACCAATGTTTATAATGAAGAATTTAAAAATACACTACAAAAATATTACTAATATATTCAATACCTTATCTTGAAGTAGTTTGGGAAACCATTATAAGGCCGTGGTAAATACACTTGCCGCCAACTTTATTACTTTTTAAAGGTCGATGGGTGCAGTAATCAGATAACTATTATTGAACTCTATTAATGTAAACGTGTGTAACAGTAAAGGTTAGCTTGGGGTCAAGAAAAGAGGCCACTATTAGAAAGCTATTTTCCCCAGTGAGTTCACTCATTTGATTATTTTTCACCGATTTTATTTGTAATTATAAACACAGAACTTATAAATTATGTTATTTATAACAACAGAAATTAACAACAGAGTTTATGGTCAATTTTTTACAGTAGGTAAAACTTCGAAAATCCTGCCCACCTTCCCAATAAAATAAATTAAAATAATAATAATTTCGAAAATCAATATAATTTTTGGTATTAGTTTTAATGAATTTCAAATCTCATAAATATTTCAACATAACACAAATAGAAAAAAATGGCCCTATTAAAAATTAAACCAACTTTAAAACCAGCACACAACAATCAGAGGATTGTACCTACTAATTTTCAAATAAGTCACCACAGTTTCAAATTTAGCTGAAATATAATGAAACATTTAAATCATACCCAAACTAATCTCAATAAATTTTAATTTTAATTTATTCGTGGATTTTAATAACAGTTCTGATTTTTGTCTGTTACCCTCAAAATTATTGATTGAAGCTAATATCAGTTGCTTTTTCTTAATTATTTTCATATTATCAACATTTATTTAAATCCAAGTAAATCTTACACGCCATGAACTATATAGCATCGAATGTTATTAATAATTTCTACAATCCCAAAATTGACATTATATATTAATTGATTATACATATTTATGGCCAAATACGTTATACACCTCCTGTATTTTTCACTTCCTACTATTAGTTTACACTCTCCCTATATATATTTATATATCTTGTTCAAATTTTCAAAACTCATAACTCAAATATATTTTTTTAAACTTGCAGTGGATGACACTTGATGTTAATAGTTTTTTTCAAATATTAATTTATAAATTAAATTTAATTAATTAATTTTAGTTTTATAAAGGAGAAAAAAATTTTGCCACTTAATATTCCGTTTCTGTCATATGTATATACATATTCATTTTAATTGTAATTATTTAATAAAAAGTAAATAAAATTTTCCTTGTAGTAGGAATTGACATAATTTTTTTTTCTTTCTTTTAATATTACTTGATCATGGGTGCAAGTTGAAAAAAAGGCCAAGACTGAAAATTTTTTGACTGAAATACCTAACATACACAATACCCCCTTGACATATGCAAACTATCTAAGAAAGCTTTACCATAATACATCAAGTTTAAGTACTATACAAAAAATATTTATTCATCTGTCTTTTGATAAAATAACAACAGACCAATAATGTAGACCTAAAAAATATTTTTAAGGGCAGAAAAAAAAGAAATTTCCGATTTCCGTCCTCGAGTCAGTCTTGTTTCCGTCTTACTTCCGCCCGCGGACATTTTCGAAAGACGGAAATCCGTCCTGGAGACGGAAGACTTGCACCCATGTACTTGATTAACTTCGTTTATTAGTAACAATATCAACTACTCAAAAAGTTATAATATACGTCGTTTATGATCATTTTTAGATTTTACTTTAATTTAGGTCCAGTATGTCAGCAATTTATGTCATTCTTTCCCCTGTAGTTTTCAGTACCGAATTTCACTAAAAATTTCAGCGTCTCAAACATGATTAATTCCATACAAATTAACCATCCTATCTATATCACCCAATTCTAACATTTCATTCAATGGGAGCTGAACTTTATTATAAATGTCAGTAATCGCCTAAGTGATCCTACAAATTATAGATTAGGAGTTTTGATTATTTTACAATCTACCATATATACTATTTTTCTGAACTGCTATAAACCAGCATCCATTTCTGCGAACCTGACTAGGAGGTATTCATCTCTTGATATAAGTTGTTTGTATAATATGTTGCATATTTATCAGTTGTTTCGATTATTATTTTATAACAGCAGTTATCTAGGTATTTTTACCTAGGTATATACCTAGGTATTTTTCCTAATTAGTGCGAAAAAGTGAAAGTGCCCTATTCCTGCCAACAACCGTTTTTTTAAAATGCAGAAGACGTTGCGCGTTTTCAATTTTATTCCCTATTTAAAGAACAGACAATATAGTAATCGGAATATAGTGTTTTACAAGTGGATTACAGTATTTTAACGCATTCATGTGCGAAATAAAAGAAAGATATGATCCCTTTTTTTGAACTATTAGATGCTTAACATCGTATATTTTGCATTAATTTATAAGAAGAGCAAAAATTCAAGATGCCATTCTCTAAGCAAGGCAGGAGTAAGTAGTTCGAAAAAAGAACAAAATTTTGCTGCAAATTGCAAAAAGACGTAAAATGAGATATAAATGCGGAAAAACGGAAAATGCTGGAAAGTTGGTAGCTATGGTATGCAATTTTATAATTTCAACCTATAAAGCTTTGCAGAAATGTTGTTACAACAGAGAAGAGAAACTCGACTAACAAATCTAATTTTAAATTGTACCATTGTAGTTGCCGTTAATAAATATTAAAACCTAAATGAAACTCAAGTAGAAATGCAGTCTGAAATAAAACATTTCAGCAACAATTTTTATCTTAAACCAAAATTAACTAATACAATCTTAAAGGGGTGAAAAAAGAACTACTACAAAGTCAAAATGTCTATTTCTAATCTATTAAAAAAATAGCTTAAACACGAAATTCTACCATAAATTGATGTTTAAAATGAAATGCAATCGATTACAAATAAGTTAACCGCTACTTATTTGTTTACACGTCGAAACTTCGTGACAAATATTTGGTTAAAGGTCAAAGTACAGGCCATTGCGCCATATATCTCCAAACGCAACGGGTCAGTAAAGATTGAATTAAATGAAGTTATTAGAACATACCTGGCGGGTGCGTAGCATCATAGAAATTTTTTAAATAGTTCATGGAAAACGTAACCATTTACACTGAAAAAAAAGTTCCAACTGAGCTTTAATCGCGGTATTGTACAACAAAGAAAAAAAAATTAATATATCACCATGACTACAAAGACAACAGTTGCATGAAAGCTATTACTTTTGCAATGTTATCTTTCTCCTTATGCCGAAATAGTCTTGATAAGCACAATTCTTTACTGATAAAAATTTTAACACGTTACAGGCAGACATTTCTTTTTTTTTTCTTTCAAAAAAGGGTATGATCAATGAGGTTATAAAGTGATATCTAAAAGTGAAGTATATTATCAGAAAAATATTTTTATTTGTGTATATGTTGGATTGATGATGAGATATCGATGAAGTGAAAACATTCACAGATATGGGTTTGTTTGTGAAAATATTGAGATGAGTAATTTATATTTAGGGTAAACAAATATATTGAGACACATACACACTATAAAGAAATAAATAAATTATGGGCTACAAGCAGAAGTCAGGAGTACTATTATTTATTTCAAACATGCTTATTTGAGGCTTACGGAGAATAGTGTAAATATAAATTAAGAAGGAAAACTGTGTTTATTAAATCAAGTTATTTGGTGTGTGTGTATAAATGCAAAACATTTATTTAGGAATAAATTCGCAGTCCTCTATGGATCAAATCAATTACTCCTACTTCTAACTTAATCGATAAGATTACACAGCCGTATTAGTGATAAAATAATTAAAAAAAATGAATTTAGATTATGTTTTGAAAAATAACTGGAATAAAGATGATATATAAAATTAAGTCAGATTAATACATGGACGAGTGAGACGATTTTAAATTGAAAGATTCTTACAACTTAATAATAAACACTTATTTTTTGTTTTTATAATTGTTAATTTTGAAATTTTAAGGCCAAATATATGTGATATGAGAGATTTATTTATTTAAGCACAAAATCATAGTTTTAATCGCTAAAAGCCACGAAATACTATTAACTATACTCAGCAGCACTTCTTTATAAAATATGGAAAATCTAAAAAAATGTCAGCATTAAATAATTATGATAAATATAGAATATGCTTCAATATTAATATAGCCAAAATGAAAGAGCAAAATAGACACGCACACACAACAATAAAAGACAGCTAGAAAGAGTTGCTAAATATACATAATAAACTAGGACAATTAAAAACCATTTTAAATTATTTTTATTAATTATATATTTTTATTCATGTTAAACATTCAAAAATTTTGTCTGACCCTGGACACACGCAACAGATGGACGCTGCAAGAAATGGACACTGTCTCAAATATGTATATAATTTGCAACCCTTTCTAGCAGTTCCGGCAAGTTAGATAGCTTGCAAGGCTCAAGAAAGGAAAATATCAGGACAGCAACTATTGTTAGTTCTATAATCAAACTATTAACTTCCGCTAATGACATAATTTAAGAGAAATTTTTTTTTTTTTTAAAGCAAGTTTTTAGCAAAACCAATAAGATCAAATTCATAGATAAATATGTTATTAATAATAGTTTCCTTAAAAAATTAATAGTTGTTTTAACTATAAATATAACACCACAAAATATTCTTTGAGAGCTTAAAACATTTGACTCTTATGTTTTTAGGTAATTTTTTATTCTTCCTGCTTCGCATCATTTTGACCACATTCATGGGTGTAACTCTATAAAAATTTCAAGACTGACTTTTGTTTCATGACCAATTAATACGAACTAGGGTTGTTTACTAGAATTATCCAGAAATTTATAACTCACTTTCTGTAAGAATGGCTTACATATAATATCAATGTATTTTTTCATTAACAAATAAATGAATTTAAAAAAAAAACTATTTTTCTATATTTATTCTCCTAGGTTTATAAATTTCATTTTTTTTAAAAA